ACATACAGTACATACAGCACATACAGTACATACAGCACATACAGTACATACACACATACATACACACACACACACATATATATATATATATGTATATACATACATTCATACATACATACATACTTGTAGAGAGGGAGGGGGAGAGAGAGAGAGAGGTATGTGTGGGTACAGTCTGATGCCAAATAGACTAACGTCACAAAGCGCTTCAACAAACGGTCAGTAGTCATGGCGACGGCAATATTAGTGACATACTGCAAGGAAACATAGGTTCGTACTTAGTACTGACTGGAGGTGGCAGAAATAGCGGGCGGTAACCGACATCCATAAGCGGTAAACGCTAAACTCTACATCTGGTAGTCTGAGAGCCCGTAGAGTCTGTTCCTTACGCCCGTCAGCCCCTACAAGACCTCAACACGCGACCCCTAAGAAGCTTGCGCGCCTGAAAAAAGTCCGCGGCCCAGGGCCATAACGTAGCTGACGGTTCGTCAAAGAACCGGATGGAGAGAACATAACCAGACTGGAGGCCGGCGTACTGCAGCCTGAAGAGTTTTGGCTTCAGGGTTTTGCGGCGTCAAGGCTTCAGGAGTTTGGGCTTGAGAGGTTTAGAGATTTGGGCTGCAAGGGTTTGGGTCCAAGAAAGTTTAACCTACACCGTCTCGAAGCCTTGGAGCTCGACTTGAAACTATTGCGTTTTTCAGCTGGTACAGTTCAGGGGGACAGGATAACCAACTCATGAGATTTTTCCTGGGTTGCTAGTCTGACACTTCAGACACAGCAAAATCCCCTCCAGTAGAACAGAGGATTTGCCATCAAACAGCGTCCGAAGACTGTGGGCCAAAACCGGACCGGAAACCAACCCTGAACCTGAAACCTAAACCCTAAACCCTAAACCCTAAACCCTGCACCCGAAACCCTGAACGAGGGGCCAAGTGCTCGAAAATCGCTTTATGCTGTGCTCGAATCGTGCTGCTGCGGGAACTGGAAACACCGAGTCGCGCCGTGAACCAATTCTTCGTGCCCTGGCGCCCTGGATTCGAGCACCGGTGAGTCACAAACCGTGACGCCAGGCTCGCACAGTGCGCAGGCCCGGATTCCCGCACCGGACATTTCCAGGGTGCACTGACTCTGCGGATTCGCGCACTCTAGCAGCAGGGATTCGCGCACATTCTCGTGGCGGTCCAGCTGAACAGAACACGGCAGCTCCGCGAACATCTTCCGCTCAGGACTAGGATGAGGAAAAGCCCCGAAGCCGAATGACAACCAGAAGTCTATGAGGTATAAACCCCTTCAACTGAGCAGCAAGGCCATTGTAGACTTGGGCTCACTACTCCGCCAACCTCGAAAAAATAAGCAGTCCTATAACGCCCCTCAAGTCGAAATCAGAAGCTGCAGTCGTTTTCCAGGTTTGTGAGTTGAACACACTGGACCTAACGTCGAGATACCGAACATCCAAGCACCCTAAAACCCTAAATCCCGAAAGCCCTGAAGCCCAAAAAAAGAGCCAAACCCCGAAACCCTAAATCCCAAAATCCAGTCGCGGTTTAATTCTTCCGTCGTGTCTCGACGACTGCAATCCACTCAGTGTAACCCAAAGCCTTAATGTCAAGGGTTGAGGGCCGCCGGTTAGTAATGAGGATCAACTGCAGAACCCCAGAAAGTGCGGAACTGAAACACCCAAACCCGAGACGCTGCCCGGATCGAGGTCCCCACTCCATGGCCATGGTCAGGAAGTTCACGGTTACCTTGGTAAAATCAATTTAGGAGAATAAAATTTTGGCCCTGGGGCCCATTTCTACTACACTTATAATAAGGAGCCCGCAAAATAGTATTGGTAAACTCGTTGTAGAAGCCCTACCACAGTCTTACCTCGACCGTAAAACACGCGGAAGTCTCTCTCCTGCCACGTGCGCGATCAAAACATCATCTTTGAAGACTGCGCCACCGGCGGCGAAACGCAGTACCAACACCAGAAACACCAGAAACACAAAGACAATCCGAAAAGACAAGCGCCACGACTATGACAGCGGAGTGGTCATGTCGGCAACAGGCACCGAAACCGTGGCGTTGCAGTGTTGCTGCGAAGATTCAGCCAGGCAGACGACGAGGTGGCGTTGGTGATGACTGTAGTGGTAGTGAATGGGTGAACGGAGGCGGTGACGGCGGTGGCAGCAGCGAAGTACGCTGAAAATAAACACATGGACATGACTATGACGATGGTAATGGTGATGCTGCTGATGATGCAGAGGAGGACAATGGCAGTGATGACAATGACGGTGGCGACGATGATGAAGACAGTGGTGCAGACGACAATAGCGATGGTTTAATGGTGATTCTTTGATGGACGCGACAGTGACGGTGATGTAACAGAGTGATACTGATACTGATGGTCAAGGCGCTTGCAGTGGTGATGAGAACTATTAGAGGTGATCCGGGGCCGAGGACATTCATACTACTATAACTACTATTTACTACTATTACCACCATTACTACTACTACTATTATTACTACTATTACTATTATTACTCATAAGTTGCTAACAAACTATGATATTAACCGAAGCAGCAGCCAATGCACCTTGAGCCGAGGGCATCTCGGAAGTTGGCAATAAAAACTCAAGTAATGATGTCTGGACACTAGAAGGCCGACCACGAGATCGAAAGTATCGCTTCGCACAAACTTCTTGATCTTCTGGAGGAGTGTCTTGGCTTCCTGGCGGTTGAGAGCTCAGCGTTCTGGGTCGTAGGCTTCAAACCCTGCTTTCTGGACCTTAATTAAATCGCAAAGGAGTCTTTGACGAACGGCCCCCACACCGGCGATGAGCCTCTGCGCTCTACTTCTCCAATTACCGCGGACGAGTTTCTTCGACAAAATCCAGGACTGAGGATTTGCGCTACCATTGAACGGAAGCGGAAAAACTCTGTCGAGACGCACTCTGTCGGGCTCTTGGGTTGAACGGCTATACTTGCACGCAGCAATCATACAGTAGGGATGCCCAGCCCACCGCGCCTCTTCCGGCGGTTCTTCGGACTGGCTGGGTCTTGGCGACATCAGCGAGAAACCTCAGTTGCGCCGTGCAAAGTGAAGCGGCATCTCGGGACTCGCGCTCAGAATTTTTTACATGGTGGAGTGTCTGGAATGATAGTCTCCTGAATTGAAGGGCCTAGACGACCTTACACAAGCTAACAAGGCCCGAAATGCCAGGATTTCAGGCCAAGGAGCTCCCTGTCATCGAGCGTATTGAGTTTGGGGATACCGGATCTGACGCCTTTGCCAGATTTGGGGATGATCTCGGTTCTGGGGGTTGGTTAGGTGTTGGAGGTTTGGGGCTTTGGGCTTCATGGTCTTTAGGGCTTCCTGCTTCAAGGCTCGGGGTTCAAGGCTTCATGTTCGAGGTTTTGTGGCTCAGGGTTTAAGTTTTATGGTTCGCACACCACCTGCCGCTTCAACGGCTGGGCTTTGCGTTGGAAGGATGAGGGCTTTCGGCAAGGGCCTTCTACTCGAAGTATTGTGGCTCTGCTAGCAACTGTTAGTAGCTATTCCGCTGCGATCTGCGACCTAGCAGTTCCGATGTGCGCTGCATTACCCATGGAATGTATGCGCATTCAGATGAAGGCATTACTCCAGACTACTGGGTGCATCGGGAAGATTAGTGGCTTACAATTATTGCAATTAGCGTACTGATGTGTGATGTCATCTACGGGATCTTGTGACGACACGTACAAAGATGTATGGAATTTATATATATATATATACTATACAATCTTGTATATACATGTATTTTCAAGTGATAGTATTTGATAGTTACTTAGCTATTACATGTATTTTTCAAGTGTTAGTATTTGATAGTTACTCAGCTATTCAGTTGTTTGACTGTTGATTCATTGTTGAATACACATATGCGCATGCCTGTGAGAAGATACATACAACAAATAATGGATGGATGGATGGATGGATGGATGGATGGATCTGCATGTGTGCGTGTGTGTGTGTGTATATATGTGTAAGTAACTTCGTGCGTATGTACGCATGTGCCGATGTATGTATAGTGAACCCCGGAAAGTTGGAACACGGAAGGACGATGGTGAGGGTGGGAATTGCTTTTAATTACGTTAATTTTCGTCGGCATGAGGATAATGATGTTCCAACTTTCTGGCTTCTACCGTACGCATTTATGTACGTACGTGCGTGTGCGTGCGTGTGTGGGTGCACCCGTATGTATGCATGTATGTATATATGTGTGCATGCATGCATGTACGTCTGCATAACTGTTTGTATGTGAACATGCCAGTCCGTATGTAAGTAGAAATGTATGCAGGTAGGTAGGCAGGTAGGCAGATAGGCAGGCAGCCAGGCAGACATGCATGTGTAATTTTGTGCGCATGTCAAACAATTCCTATGTATACTTGCGTGTACGCAATGTACGCATGTCTGCATGCCTGCATGCATGCAGGCATGTACACGCACATGTAGGTATGCATGCATGCATGCACACACGCATGCGTGTATGCATGAGTGCATGAGTGGTTGAGTGAATGAGTGAGTGAGAGAGTATGTATGTGTGAATGTATGTATGAAGGACTATGAAGATATGTATAGATTTGTGTAAACATGTAAATGTACGGGTGCATGCATGTACGCATGCATGCATGTACTTATGTATGTATACAGGCATGTATGTACGCATGTAAATATGCCGGTGCACATGCATGTATGTATGTATGTATGTATGTAGGTATGATTGCATGAATGAGTGAGTGTATGTGAGTGTATGCCTGTACCTCTACCCATGTATGTGTGTATGTTGGCACCTAGGTACGTACGTGTGCATTTATGCATGCAGGCATGTATGCATGTATGCCTGTATGCATGTATGCATGTATGCATGTATGCATGTATGCATGTATGCATGTATGTATGCATGTATGTATGTATGACAGCATGCATGTATTTGTTCTGTAAGTGTGTGAGCTAGTACGTATGTATGCACGTATGTATGCATGTATGTATGCCTGCATGTATGTAGGCACATACGTACGTATGTAGGGATGCCAACAATCATGCATGTATGCATGCATGAATGTGTATATGTATGTACGTGTGTATCGGTGCATCAGTGAGCGAGTGTATGAGTGAGTGTGTCTACATATGTGTGTATGTGTCCACCTATCTAGGCCTATATGTATGCAAGTGTGTATGAATGCTGTACGTATTTGTGTAAGTATGTGAGTATGTATGCATGTATGCATGTATGCCCGTGTGCATGTGAATTTCTGTATGTATGTACGCATGTATGTATGTATGTATGTATGTATGTATGTATGTATGTATGTATGTCAGCAGGCAGGTATGTATGTACACATGTAGGTATGAAAGTAGATGCATGTGTTTATGTAGAGTGTAGTGTGCGTCTGCGTGCGCATATGATCGTTTGTGTAACCGTGTGCGTGCATCTATCCATCTATCTATCCTGTCTATCTATCTATAGCTACCTGCTTCTCTATCCATCTGCCACTCTACCTGTGGATCTATCAACCTAGCTGTCTTCCTGTTTACATACACGTCTGTTGGTAAATTTGTGCTGTGACTTGTTGAGTTGTTTATTCTGAGCTTGTTGCTATTGTTTTACGTAGCTTATGTTTGTGCACATGTACAGATGTGAATATATGTAACATGTATATTATGTACATGTGTATGCATACATATTATGTTCTACAGGTATGTGAACTACAAACCAGGCTTTTGTTCGCACGCTTGTATAGTCGTTCAGAATGATGCTATTGCTGTCATGATTAATGCAAGTCGTCGAGCTAGAGCTACAAGCAAATATAAGCCATCATACTACTGTCAATGCTTGCTTCTGGTAGGAGGAGGAGGTGGAGGAGGTCAGCTGTTATTATGGTTGTTGTCGTCGTGTTGAGACCTCTATTGATGTCATCACGGCTTCTATCCCTGATGATGGTGGGTTAGAACAACCTGAAAACCCTGAACCCGGAACCCGAAAAAAAAATCGCGCTTGAATATTGAAACCTTTCAGCGTAAACTCCCAAGTCCGGTGCCCTATACCCTGAAACCCAATTCCGTACACCCTAAAACATATTAAACAAACCATCTTTGAAGCAAGAAGCCCCTCTAAAACCATCAAGCCCCTAAAACTGCCTAAAACCGACAAAAAACGCTCAACTTGCGCAGCCGGGGCCTTGGGGCTGCCGGGTGGGTTTAAGTGGTTCGGCCCCGGACTTGGCGGCGGAATCTGCAAGGGAACCTTGTGCGAAAGGTGTCTGAAGTGTCCGAGGTTTTAAGAATTTTAAGGCTTAGGGCTTAGCGTTTTAGTGCGCAGCGGCTTAGCGTTTAGGCGCTCGGGTTCGAGGCCGCAGGCAGGGTACCGCAAGAAGGCTATACGGAGGAGCTCCACTTGAGATACTTTCACTCGTGCGAACAATACTAGGTCCCACGATGCTCCAAGCAGGGTCTGGGGCTCTTGGTACGGGACATGCTTTCGTTTCTTCAGCTACATGAGAGCAGCCTTCGAAGAAGTCAGTCGCAATATGCTAGAAAATGCGAGTGCGCCACTGGCTCCATGTCAGTCCCAATCTTCTCCCACCCTAAATCCTAAACTCTGCTATACACCAAGATTGCAAAAAAAAGAATGAAGCTGCTGCATCCCTAGAGCCCCACCAGGCGCCTTGAGTAAGTCCGGCTCTCCGTCCAGCGGCCCATCGATGGAGGCTACATCCTGCAAACATGTGGGTAGTTCTCTAAATTAGGGTCCCTTTTAGGGTCCTTTTTATAAGGGTGCCGTACTATATTGGGGACCTAAAAATGAACCCTAATTTAGAGAACTACCCATGTGCAGTGGCAGAATACGTGTCGTCGGATTCGGGAACTGCATTTGTGGATCAGCTGCTAGCCGAAACCTCAACTGCCTGAACTGCTAAACTCGCTTCCTGGATGTCACCCGCCGGTTTCGGAGAGCCGGGTGCGGAAGTGACCTCTGAAGCAGAAGCCTCGGTGCGAAGTTTCACTTCTGGAAGGAAAAAATTCTGCAGCAAGCACTGTTCTAGTTGTTCGAGCGAGCTCATATCTGCGATGGAGGTTCTGAACCGGTCACTGCGGAAAATTCATCCATAAACTGCTGCGGCGACCGACTGTCAAGACTCACCAGCAACACAGTCACTTGCTCAGTCCCGAGACATTGTGCTCTTTCGGCACTGCTTGATCTCCCGCGGAAAGCGGCTCGCCTTCAGCATGTGTCAGTAGTTCTGCTGGTGCTATTGTGAGTTGGAGAGAGAACACCAGTTTAAGTGACAGCTGGACGTGGTATTGGTGATAGCGGTAGTTCGAAAAGTATTCGTGACAGTAGTGATGGCAAACAGCCGTTGCGAAAGCAGAAGCAGCAGCAGCACTTGCAGCGGTAGCAGTAGCGGAAGCGGAAGCGGACGCGGAAACGGTAGCCGCTGCAGTAGTATCAGCAGTAGCACTAGCAGCAGCAGCAGCAGCAGCAGCAGCAGCAGCGGCAGCGGTAGCGGCAGCGGTCGCGGCAGCGGTCGCGGCAGCGGTGGCAGTAGCGGTGGTGGTAGCAGTAGCAGCAGCAGCAGTGGTAGTGGTAGTGGTAGTGGTAGTGGTAGTGGTAGTGGTAGTGGTAGTGGTGGTAGTAGCAGCAGCAGCAGCAGGAGGAGTTGCAGTAGCACGTGGTAGCATCAGCAGCAGTTGGAGCTGGAGCAGCA